CAACTTGGCGAGACCTCATCTCTACAATAAATCAAAATGAGCCGGGCGTGGTAGTGCGCGCCTGTAATTTCGGCTACTTGGAAGGCCGAGGCGGCAGGGAACAGCCACTGCACTCCAGTCTGGGCGACGGAGTGAAACTTCAACTCAAAAAAAAAATTCTAAAAGCCAGGCATGGTGGCACACACCTGTAGCCCCAGCTATTTAGAAGGCTGAAGTGAGAGGATTCCTTGAGCCTAGGAGTTCAAGACCAGTCTGGGCAATAGAGTGAGACCTCATTTCAAAATATATATATTTTTTTAATTTAAAATTTATATAAATATTATGAAAAGGGCAAACAGAACACACATTAACATGCCAGTTTGATCTCAATTAGATTTAAATATATTTAACAACAGCTTCCATCTAACTGAGTGATTACTATGTATTATACTTTACATACACTATCTCATTCCGTTCTCAAAATGAGGCAAGATTCAAATCCAAGTTTGATTCTAAAACCTATGTGCTCATTAGTACTAACCTGAATCTATATGAACATGTTATCCTGAGAGATAAAAAGAAGAATCCATGTTTAATTAACTCTGGGAATTACTGGGTTAAGCCTAAAAATTGCCAAAAGGGGAATACTGGACATAGCCTTAGGGAAATGCTATACCAGGCTATTCTGTTCCAAATATGAGAAAATGTTAGGAGAATAACCCTAAGCAGCAGTTAGTGTTTTTCTTTATTCTTTTTAGACTTTTCCACCCTACGGATATATTACTTCCCAAATTAGGGAGGAAATTTATGTTACTGTAAATATAACAGAGGTATAATTGAGAAAGAAGATGAACTAACATGATTCCAGTTTTTTTTGGATCCTGCTGGCAACTTCTTCCACCTTTTCACAAGCAGGACACAGGCATTGCAGATGTCTCCTGAACGTGTCTCATGCAACCTGATATGAAAACAACCAAACCTTTATCAGTCTCCTTTACCTTAAAGAATTCATGCAAACACATTTCTCTTGGGAAAAACCTACAGCCATTTATAGTTTACAGATGCAATTTAATCATTCTGAAGAATTCAGCTCCATCATCTCTATAGTGTATTTCAGATCCAATTTCTAGATCCAATGAACCAATTCTATTTACTGCATTTTGATTATTTTAAATAAGAAATGTTTTTAAAATTAAATAAAGTCAGGCACGGTGGCTCAAGCCTATAATATAATCCCAGCACTTTGGGAGACCTAGATGAGAGGATTGCCTGAGCCCACAGGTTCGAGACCAGCCTGGCCAACTTGAGGAGACCTCATCTCTACAATAAATCAAAAATTAGCTGGGCATAGTAGCGTGTGCCTGTAGTTCCAGCTACTTGGAAGGCTGAGGCAGGATTGCCTGAGTCCAGCAGGTCGAGGCTGCAGTGGCTGAGAGCACACCACTGCACTCCAGCCTGGGCAACAGGGACTCCAACTCAAAAAAAAAAAAAAATTTTTTTTTAATTGAAAAAATAAAATTAAATAAAAGCATATAAGTGATCCTGGTCATCATGGTTTTAAACAAGGCTGCCCAATTAATCTTTTTTGAAATATATGGATACTTCCTAAGCAACAAAATGTCACCCTCCGAGTAAAATAATGTGCCATAATATGCTATTTTCACAACAAACAAAACCAGAGTGGCAGAATTGTCTTAAAACGTGAGTGTAGCCGGGCTTGGTGGCTCAGCCTGTAATCCTGCGCCTTGGGAGGCTGAGGTGAGTGAACTGCCTGAGCCCATGGGTTCGAGATCCGCCTGGGCAACTTGGTGAGACCTCATCTCTACAATAAATCAAAAAAAATCAGCTGGGTGTGGTAGCGTGCGCCTGTATTTCCAGCTACTTGGAAGGCTAAGGCGGAAAGATCGCCA